GGGAGGACATAGCGCAGCATATGCAGGATGCCCTGTACAACAAGAAGACAGATAAAAACATAAAAACAGTGCAAAATTTAACATATGGAGAAGCTACCCGTAAGGTAAAAGCCAAAGGTATAGTTGAAAACTAATGTGCAAATGTGCAAGGAATCAGGGCGGAATCCTATACCCAGAAAGGAGTAAATCCTGAGAGGAAGGAATCAGATCTACATATTATGATGACTAAAACTGACTTTGTGGCATTCATTTGTGCGGTGGTAAATGGCACTTCACAAGTGGAAAGGAAATCGGACAAGTTAAAGATTATCGTAGAATGTGCTAACAAATTTCTCAAGTTAACAGGAGTTACAGCAGTGGAGGTCCGTGGGATTTTGAAAGCAAAGGAAGGAACTGCTGCTTTGGATACGACTCGGAGTAATAATACATAGTTGTATAATGTCTTTCCTACTACTACATTGGAATGCCAGGAGCTTAATAGCAAACGGGCAAGAGCTTAAAAACATATCACAGAAATGGAAAAGGCACCAGACATCATGTGAGACATGGTTAAATAGCTCCTTGGATTTTAAGATCAATGGATATGTAGTAGAGAGGAAAGATAGAGAAACTGGAAGAGGTGGAGGGTGTGCAACATTTATTAAAGAAGGCATAGCATATAAGAGAATATACAAAAGTAATAATGTAGAATGTGTAAGTATAGAAGTAATGGGAATACATGAAGAAATTAGAATTACACATTTTTATAATCACAATCAAAGAAATAAGCAATACTGTATTAGAAGAAGTGATGAGGGTGATACACGGGGTACAATTATTATATGTGGGGATTTTAATGCACATAACGGTTTATGGGGTAGTAAAAATATATACAGACAATAATGGGATAGTTATAGAAGAATTTATAAGAGCACTTGCTTGTATGTTTGAATGATGGGAAACCAACAAGAATGGATATAATTAAAGGTGGCATGTCATGTTTAGATCTCACAATAACATCAGCTGCCTTAGCCGGTAAGTGTACTTGGAGTGTACATGAAGATAATTTGGGCAGTGATCATTGGCCTGTAGTTTGTGAGATTCAGAGTGCAGTCCAAAGGCAAAACTTTAATCAGTGTGCAAGATGGGGATTTAAGCAGGCAAAATATAAGGAATTTTATGTGTTGTGTGAAGAAAATTAAAAAAAATATGAAGTTGGAAGGGAATATTGAGGAGAAATATAATAAGGTAGTAGGAGAAATCATTTCTGCAGCAAATCAATCTATACCGTTAATAAGAGGTAATGGAAAGAAAAAGAAAAGTGTACCGTGGTGGTCTGAAGAGTGCACAGTGGTAATTGGAGAGAGGAATAAGGCATTCTGGATTTTAAAAAGGATATTAACTCAAGATACAGTTGTAGAATATTAGAAGAAAAGGGCAGCTGCAAGAAGGGTAATTAAAAGTGCAAAGAGAAAGGCTTGGCAGGAATTCTGTAACACAATTGGGAGAGAGACTGGAATGCATGTGGTATGGAGAATGATTAGAAAAATGAATGGTATTAATAATTATAAACAGATCCCTGTAATTGAAGAGGAAGTGAAAATAGCCCTTTTATAAAGAAAAGACAGAAGTCTTAGCCAAAACTTTTGCTATTGAAAACTTGAATGATAAGTTCTTAAAAAGAAGACAAGAGTTAAGTAAAATATATGAGAACGTTCGTATGAAAAAACAAGGCGTTGATAGCAATATGGATGAGGATTTTAATTCTTTTGAGTTAAAAATAGCCATTAACAATTCAAAGAATACAACGCCAGGGAGAGACATGATCAGTTACAGTATGCTTTTTAATGTAATGTAACTTACCAGAAGTAGCCGTTAAATCATTATTGGATTTATATAATCATGGAATGAAGGCATCTTACCCAAAGATTGGAAAAGTGCAATAGTGATACCAGTAGTGAAACCAGGTAAAGATGCATCAAAATCTAATAGTTATAGGCCAATTGCTCTTACATCTACATTATGCAAGGTAATGGAGAAAATGATAGTAAGATGGTTGAATTATTTTTTGGAGAAAAAATTAATATTATCATCAGCTCAGAGTGGTTTTAGGAAGAAGAGATCTACAATGGATGCTCTGATATTATTTGAAAATTATGTTAAAAAAGCTCTAATAATGAAAGAATTTCTTGTTGCTGGTTTCTTTGACATTGAAAAGGCATATGACACTTTATGGAGGGAGGGACTGTTAATTAAGTTAAATAAAATCGGAATGGGGGGAGAATGTATAATTGGATATTCAATTTTTTGTTTGAGTGTACATTCCAGGTAAGAATAGGTGAAGAAATGTCAGCATCGTATGATATCCTGAATGGGACTCCACAAGGAAGTGTAATCAGTCCAATTTTATTCAATGCAATGATTAATGATGTAATTGAAAGAGTTAAACCAAGCATTGGGAAGGCATTATATGCAGATGATGGTGCAGTATGAAAAAGAGGTAGGAATTTAGGAAATGTAGTTAAAGGAATACAAGAATCAATAAATGAAGTTGAAAGGTGGTCAGTAGATTGGGGATTGACGTTTTCAGTATCAAAGACTCAATATATGTTTTTTACAAAGAAAAAGAAAATGGAACAAATTACTCTGAAATTATATGAACAATTGTTAGAAAGAGTGACAGAGTTCAAATATCTTGGATTAATCTTTGATGAAAAATTAACTTGGAAGCGACATTAAGAAATTTGAAAACAAATGCAAAGGAGTAATAAATTCCATGACTTCAATAGCCAAGTATGAATGGGGAGCAAGGAAAAGTGCACTGTATATCAAGCCTTAATATGGTCTATAGACTATGGGTGTGCAGTGTATGGTGCACACAACATACAGTCCAGAGCACTTAGAATCTGCTGTGGAGCAATAAGGTCAACACCTCAGATGCCATCAGGGTCGAAATGGGGGAGATGCCATTAGATTTGAGAATAGAAAAGCTTGCGATGATGTATTGGGTTAATTTACAGTGTAGTAATAAGAATCATCGTGCACGCACAATTTTAAATGATTGTCGGGAATATAAAAATAATGGAGGGAATAGTTTTGGTTGGAAGTATGAACAGTGAGTCAAGGATTGTGGTCTGGAGAATGAAGAAATCTGTCCCAACATGCCATTAAATGGGGTATCGGTATGCAATATTCCTTGAACCCATTGTTGAAATGAGATTGAATGAGGCCCGGGAAAAAGCAGAAGAAAGATATACTAATAGTTATGAAATCAATGTTTTTATGAGAGAAAATTTGTATTCTTTTATACAGATCTATACAGATGGGTCTAAAGACCCAATCAAACAAAAAGTGGGCATAGGAGTGTACATTCCCCGCTTTAAGGTGAAAATAAGTTTAAGGTTAAGTGACAAATTGTCTGTATATTCTACAGAATTAACTGCTATAATAGTAGGATTGCAGTGGGTAGAACAGATTAAGCCAAATAGGACTCTGACTGTAATTTGCTCAGATTCTTCATCAGCTCTTAAAAGTATATTGTCGACAAAAACTGATAGAGAAGACCTGCTAGTAGAAATGTATACATTACTGTACAGACTGAAAATAGAGAGTATAATCGTATACTTTTGTTGGGTACCGGCACATATCGAGATAGTAGGAAATGAAACAGCGGATAAGTTAGCAAAAGAAGCTTTAAAGAAAAACTTGGTGGATGTTAAGGTACCTCTGGGAACAAATGAGATAAAATCAGTAATTAATAGGGAAATAATAAGAATATGGCAACAAAGATGGGAAAATAGCAGCACAGGTCGGTGGTATTATAATATTGTAAAATCAGTAAGGAAAAAAGAACAGTTTTATGGAAGACACAGAAAGGAAGACATAACTGAGCGAATGACACTTAATGACAGTTGTCATAAACATGCATAAAAAAAATCTTCATATTCATGATATGTGTCATGTCATGATTATGTAGGTGACTTGTCATGATTATGAAGGTGTCATGTCAGTCTTATGCACACCCTTTCAAGTAAAGTGTAACCGGAAGAAGTAATGATTTCTAGATTAAGGATGGGTCACACAGGATTAAATTCAACACTTGCATTAATGGGGAAGCATGAAAATGGTATGTGTGATGAATGTGATGTTTTTGAAACAGTAGAGCATGTGCTCTTTAAATGTAGTAAATATGAAGATCAGCGTAACTTTATATAGTCTTTTTAGCTATATAAGGAACAGACCAGTGATTGTCGTGGACCTTCTGGGAAAGGGTTTGAGTGATAGTCAGAGATGTTTAAGGTGGTTTTAACATTTTTAGAGCTTACAGGATTAGACCACAGGATTTAGTGTTTGAGGATGAAGATCATGCTGCTTCTGCCCATCTCGGAGGTTGAGGAGCACAGTGTGGAAGCTGGAGGAGCTGAACACGCAGCGCCAGGTGAAGCTTGGGCTCTGATCCTCTGGGGTGGGTGGGGCATTACAATTTGTATTTCATTTTTTTCTTCAGTACAGCTATATCACCCATGTGCGCAAGATATACAGTAGGTGGCGGTAATACTCCTAAGGAGTGAACGGCCATTGAACAAAAAGAAGAAGAAAAAGGAAATGCCCGCCCACCCCCTCACACAGCGAGAGAGGGGGGTTGAACCACAAGTAGAAACGGATCTGTCCCGAGCAGAAAAACATTACTGAGAAGCGATCTCCTGCTGGAAGTGCTTAAAAGATCTGCTCCATATCAGCCCTGAATAATTCAAAGATATCCGACAATGGAAGATGGCAGGGAAACGGCTGCGATGAGACAGCAAAAAAGGAAGGATCGACAAATAGGTTGGCTAAATATTATTTAATATCACTTGTGTGGATATACGCTGCGTTCAGTTGACATAAATCGCGTAAGCCATACTAAATGTCTCTGTATACTGCCTTTAATAAGATTAAAACTGCTTTTAAAGAGATATACATTGGAAGCACGTCCATACTCCCCATTTTTATCTTCTTCAGGGTCTGTTGTTATTATTGATAGTGCAGCATGGGTGTGTCTTTATGCCCTCTGTTCTGTGCCAAACTGGGCAACAACAGGTGCTCATTCCCCAATCAGTCCTGCAGCACTATACAGTCCAATCACTTATGTCTTCGTCAAAACAATAACCTGATATTTTGTTGTTTATTTTATTATTTCATTTATTATTTTTGTTGTTTGTTCAGGGTCTGAACTGAGCTTGCAATATAATAAAGGTATAATGATAAAAAAACGACGTGTTATGGTGTGATATAGTATAGTGTAGTATTGTATGGTATAGTGTGTTATCATAGTATCCTATAGGATGGTGTGAGGTGGTTTAGTAAAAGTAGTAAAAAATGCATCTTCGTTGCATATAAATGTCTAGACAACATTTGGAGCTACTTTATGTCATCTTTATGCAAAACTGAACATTATGTTGGGGAACACTAGGTCTTTATTTGGGAGTAATCAAAATATAACTTTATTTATACTGTATTAAAGACAAACATAATGCTTAAATAGATCAGCATTAAATCCTGTGTAAAAGCATGGTGTTTCTGATCATGTGGCTGGTGGTCAAAGATCTTGGCCTTAATGCAAATGTTACGAGGTCAGTGCAAAGCAGGAATGATTTAATCATTCTACAATTACTGTGATCATTGTCCTGCTCAATAATCATATCCAGCATTCAATCTTACTTTGCTCTGACTGTCGCAACAGTTAATGTAATTTGCTCTGGATGGATCTGCTCAAGGAAATGTCTTATCCCTTATTTGGGCTTATGGGCTCGTAGACTAAGGGGTTTAGGCCACACATACAGTAGCCTCTTACAGTTACATTTCTCTATAGATCGGTGGTGTCACACAATTGATGATACTGAAGGTAGGTAAGATTTAAAAGCATAGCAATAGCAGTTTTGTTTGTTAATTTATTATTATTATAATTTTTTTAAGTGTAGGGAAGCGTTCATTTGCTATGTGTGGCTTATCGATGTGGTTGAATGGCTATAATGCATGCACTTCAGCTTGAAGCTAAAAGGTTGTGTTTTTGCATTTTTGAACTCATTTAACCCATAATTTTTATGAGCCGTGTTAGGTTAATGTGCATTTGTGTGGGGCTTTTTTTGTGTGTGCATTTGTGTATCTTTTTTATTGTATAGTAATATAATGAAAGTTTATGCATATGCACATTTGCTTTGCCTTACAGCCTTGGAGAATACAGACAGTGACATTGGCTTGTGTGGTTGGATCTTGGTGATTTTCTCCATCCTGCTCACATTGCTGACCCTGCCTCTCTCCATATGGATGTGCATTAAGGTATTTAGTGGTGGTCTTCCTTTCATTTGTGGATGTCGTATTGTGCACAGGAATGGCCCAGCAAAACCCACACCTTTTCCTTTAAATCTTTGTATAACAGGGGTTCTAAAATCAGTCATTTGCTACAAGTGATTTTAGGCATCACAGTATTATGATACACTGCATGTTCATTTTGAGATTTGCTAAAGATTTCATGTTAAGTTTTTATAATTACAATGTTATTAAATTAGTAATGTCATTAAAGCTCAACTTAAGTGAGCGTTAGATGACTGCAAAGGTCATCTAAATGTAAAAATAGTGGAAATAAGCATATACGATTAAATATTTAGTACTGACCAATATATATCTGTTATCAACTGATACTGATAAATTAAAGAAATAATTCAACCAATATGACACTTATAAATTGTGCATCCCTAAAAATTGTCTAGTTATACTCGGCTCTAAAATTATTAATTAGCTGGGAATTGCTGGGCAAACTCTACAACATGATTTTACAATCCTATTTTGGAAATCAAAATGACAATTCATTGGTCAAAAGGTGTGGGTATATTTAAGTTGTGTTGATCATTCCTGTATCTGTCAATCAAATTTTTGCCAATTTTTTTTCACACCAGATAGGACTGTTTATCATGGGAAGTCCTATAATCTTTATCATCTTTATGATTATAAGAATAATGATGAACGCATTATAAAGGTTGCCATGCAACATCTAAATTACATACTTAGGGGCAGTTTTAAACTGCTGTAATTTTTCTAAAAGTACTTTTTGTTCCTACAGATAGTGAAGGAATACGAAAGGGCGATTATCTTTCGTCTGGGACGCATTTTACGAGGAGGAGCCAAAGGACCAGGTAAAAGAAAAAAAATCTATATCATTTGATTTGATCATTCTGATTTAATCAGTGCTAGCGGTTTAAGCATTTCATGTGATAACGATCATGCTCCTGCTCTCTGTAATCAGTGATCACACTTGTGCTGTTTTTTTGTGTGTTTGTGTGGTTAATTGTAACACTTTTGCTGTCTGCTTGTTTGTGTTTGTGCTGTGGCCGTCCACCACAATGATGACTTGTCACAAGGCTAAAAAAATAAAACCGCTTGTGTTGTAGAGAAACAGAAGTGATCTGTTTTGCATTTCCGCTGTCCTGAATAAACAAATTTTTTTTCAGTATCATATACTAGCATTCATTTGAGGATGATATAAATACACAAAAACACACATTAAATCCTTTTACCTCACTATATATATATATATATATATATATGAGTATATTCAGGAAATACTTCCCAGTAATCACATGTGCTTTCCTGAGGCATCTGTAAAAGATCATATTACCTGGAAAGCATAAAGTTTTATTTCAATTGTTTTTTTACAAGGGCACATAATGTTCTTGCATAGTCTTTACAGTTAGATAGTAATAGCTATATAAAAAGGTATTAACGTCTGAGATTGTAATGTCAGATTAGTCACACACCTCATAACGTGTTCTATACTCTAGCCTTCTAAGCCATAAAAGTCATTTGACTCGATGTCTAATAATCCATTTAGTTTGTGGCCATGTTGCCATGATGTCACGTTTCATTGAGGATTCTGGATCAGGTTCCATGCAATGCTGTGGTCGCCACGGTGATTATGATTTTCATGAAGGTTGATCTTGGTGACTGGTTATATTTCAATGTTTGGTAACTTATTCCTCAAACACTTTCTTCTTCTTCTTCTTCTTCTTCTTCCTCTTCTTTTTTGCTTTTCTTTGTCTTCTTCTCCTCCTCTTTTCTTTATCTTCTTTTTCTCTTATCTTCTTATTCTTAAATTTCAGCAGATTAATTCAGTTCAGACCACTTAATAAATGGGTTCCTTCAAAATATGTTTTTATTTTTTTTATATACACATAATTTCAGTCTCAATGTGAGGTCAAATGTATTGTTGCTCAGCGAAATTTCACATGCAAAATCATTTCAGTAGGAATCCATGTGATCGGGAGTTTCATCTGAGGGTGAAAATATTCCCCACACAGATTTCGCTCATGTTCAAGTTGGTTACACAAATTTGCCGCATTTGCAAACAGAAGGCTTTTTAGTTTGATAGTGTGTGAGATGTAATTCGTACATTGCTACACTGGACAATGGATCTTTTTTGCTTGTGAAATCTTGCTGAAATTTCGCTAATGTCACTTCACCTTTAGATGTGCTACCTTTGAAGAGATTTCATATCAAAGTTTGAAAATGTCCTATTAACTTGCATTGTTAAAATGTTTTGCATTCAATGTGTAACCAACAATGATTGACAGAAATATTTGCACACTGTGGTTGCAGTGGGTATTTTTTCATGCATTTTTTTGCTTACTGAATTGTGACGGTTCTTAAAATGAAAAAGGCGGCACAATGTTGAATGTTGTACATGCAAAAAAAAAATAAAAAACTGATGAAGTGTATGATTCATGCAAAACCTAAGCTTACCTAAAACAAAACAGTTGTTTTGCTGCTTTAGCGAACACTGACATTTTCTTTCGAAAATTCAAATCTGTATAGCCAAAGTTATTGTTAAGTTAAGGTTAATGACACTACGCAGTGGCTGTGCTTGTGTTGGTGTCTCTGCTGTGTATTGGTCTGTGCTATGTTTAGGAATATGAATCTGCAGGGCTTTCCCTCCAGCAATGAACTTGAGGGTAGTGTCTATTATTAGCATTAGTCCACCGACTTTATCCCCCTTATGTCCTGAAAGTCAACAGAGGCTTTTCACTGTGAGCTTTCTATATAAAATCTTTTCAGTAGTACTTTTTGAGGCAATAAATTCACTCTTGATGGCTAGATGTCATTTATACTATATAGGTCTGAAAAGAAAGCTTGATTCCTTGGTCCTCTTTGAGGCTACAGGGGTCTGCAAACAATCTGCAGTGGGCTCCTCCTCCATGGCTTTATTTAAGGGTGGAACGTGAGTAGAATTTTCCACAGTAGAGTATACAAACCTCTGAACAGACTGACAAATCCTGATGACTCTTTCGAAAACTATATATATATATATATATATATATATACATACATACATGTATGTTTTAAGAAATTAATGCTTTTATTCATGCATTAAATTAATCAAAAGCAACAATAAAAGATTTTACATTGATACAAAAAA